CTCTCTCTCTCTCTCTCTCTCTCTCTCTGTCTCTGTCTCTCTCTCTCTCTCTGTCTCTCTCACTCTCTCTCTCTCTCTCACTCTCTGTCTCTCTCTCTCTCTGTCTCTCACTCTATGTCTCTCTGTCTCTCTGTCTCTCTCTGTCTCTCTCTCTCTGTCTCTATCTCTCTATCTTTCTCTTTATCTGCATATTCTTCTTCCTTTGTCTCTCTCTGTCTCTGTCTCCTTTGTATCTGTGTCTCCTCAGCTGTCTCTCTGTCTCTGTTGTTTATTTGTCTTTGTCTTTTTCTGTCTCTGTCTTTGCAACATCCCTCTTCTGACTGTCTCCTTTTGTCTCTTCTGTTGTCTCCATCACTCCTACTCACTCCTCTGAGGGTTTAGGGTTTAGGGTTTAGGGTTTAGGGTTTAGGGTTTGCGTGCAGACCTGAAGGACACAGAGTTGTTTAATGAGTGGAAGGCTCAGGGCATTCTGCGTACAGTAGAAAACCCTAACAGCGAATCTGGGGAGCCAGAAGGTGGGGTCTGCTGCTGCTGCTGCTGCTGCTGTTGCTGTTGCTGCTGCTGCTGTGCTGCGGCATTCTTGTGGCTTCACGAGCTGTGGAGACAGCCCGGAGACGGCGCAGCTGGTTTATCCATCGGGTTGCATTCCTAGGGTTTAGGGTTTAGGGTTTAGGGTACCGGAGGCAGGCGCAGCAGCAATAACAACAACCCGACTCTCTGCTGTCTCTGCTGCAGTGGAGCTGCCGCAAGTATTGGTTGATGGTGTTGTGCTGGGGGGCGAGCACGAGCTGCAGGAGCTGGAGGAGGACGGGGACCTCGGTAAACCCTAAACCCTAAACCCTAAACCCTAAAACCTAAACCCTAGGCCTGACTGCTGTTTTTGTTCTATTTATGTTTGCCGTGGATGCTGCTACTGCTGCATTTAAGCAGTAGCTTCGTTCGCTGCTGCTGCTGCTACTACTACCTCCTCTGCGCGCTGATGCTGTTGCTGCCTTCTGCTTGCGCTGCTGCTGCTGCTGCTTCTCTTGCTGCTGCTGCTGCTGCTGCTGCTGCTGTTTGCTGCAGATTGGATATTTGCTCGGGCTGCATGCCCTTGCTGCTTGCACGAGAAGTCTCCTGAGGCGTCTAGCTGCGGGAGTTGTGGGGCTGTGTTTACTTCACTAGTACCTGCTGCAGCAGTAGAAGCAGGACAGGTGCAGCAAATGCTGCAGGGTTATATTTATAATTCTTTAGAGCAGCAAAGCTCAGGCGAAAAACTTAAAGAACGATGGGCGTCAGGGCTACAGCCAGTAGACTTTGATATTGAGAGCACAAAGAAGCAAGACACAGAAGAAGAAGCACAACAATAAACCCTAACTGCTGCTGCTGCTGCTGCTGATGATGATGATGATGCACACAGTGATGCTGTGCATGCTGTAGCGGGGGCTGCTGCTGCTGCTGCTGCTGCACACAGTGATGCTGCGCATGTTGCAGCGGATGCTGCGGTGGCTTCTGCTGCTGCACACTCTGCTGCTGCTTATGCTGCACTTTTGCTGCATCTGCAGCGCTGCCACATGCTGCTGCAGCTGCTGCAGCTGCTGCAGCTCGCAGCAGAGGGCATTCATTTAGTTGTCCCCTTAGGACAGAGAAGAATCGCTTGCATCTGCTTGCATGCAGCAGCAAATGCAGCAGTATGTACACCGCGCTGCTGCTGCAGCGGTGATTATTATCAGCCGGTGCTTCTTGGAGACAGCACTAGAACGCGGGGCTTGGAGGCCCAGCAGCAGCGGAAGCAGCAGCAACAGCAGCAACAGCAGCAAGAGCTGCTGATGATGCTGCCGCTGCTGCTGCCCGCTGCTGCTGCTCAATTTGCAGGTGCAGCACCTGCCGCAGCTGCAACCCCCGCAGCCGCAGCACATGCACCAGCTGCAACCCCTGCAGCAGCAGCCGCAGCACATGGAGCAGCTGCAGCGCCTGCAGCATATGCAGCAGCTGCAGCAGCAGCACCAGCACCAGCAGTAATCAGTGCTGGAGACAGTCTTAAAGACAGCCTTAGGGTGTGTCCCCTCAGGCTGTGGGGCTTCGTCTGCTGCATGCGCCCCTTTCTTATCTTTTTCTGGGGTTTGTTTGGGGCTGCAGCAGCCACAGCAGCTAATGGAGACTTACAAGCAAAGAAAGAGACAGAGGAGACAGGCTGAGAGACTAATATAAAAATATATCGTAATTATGTAACATCTTTCATTTGCATATATACTATATAGAGTAAATGTAGCAATTACAGTGTAAATATATATATATATATATATATATATATACTTGTAGATAGTTTATATATGTATATATATACACACATATAATATATATACATGTACATATATATATATATATACAGCTGTAGATACTAACAATGGAGGACAGGTTAGGAGACTGCGGAGACAGCCGAGGGCATAGACAGTCACCGCAGCTTCGCTGCTTGAATGATAAAAAATAATTAAAACGCATGCACGCCGTTGCATGCATGCATGCATGCATGCATGTAGTACGGAGTGAGACTCTGTGGGGCTTTTCTGCTGCTCCCTCCAGGTGTATAGGCACCTCCCCTTTGCAGTTCAGAGGGAGAAGATGCATGGAGATGCATTATTGTTGTTCTGTAGACATCAAGAGGGCCTTTTGCTGCTGCGTTAACCCCTCCTAATTTGTAGCTCAGCAGCAGGAGACAGGAGACACTTAAGAGACAGTCTCTGCAGCAACAGGAAGCCTAAGCAGGGTTTAGGGTTTAGGGTTTAGTCTGAGCCCAAGCCTAAGCAGGGTTTAGGGTTTAGGGTTTAGTCTGAGCCCCTTCGGGTTTTGCTGCTTTTTCCTTGTCTCGCCGCGCCTGGCTGTGTCTCTCTTGCTGCACTTCTTTTTGTCTCTTCTGCTGTTTTCGTGTCCCTTAGTGTGTGTCTCCTTCTGTCTCCTCTCTCTTTGTCTGTCTCCTTTGTCTCTTTCTGTCTCTCTCTTCTCCATTCCTTCATCTGCTGTCTCTTTTTGACTCTGTCTCCTATCCTTCTGTCTCCTCTTTGTCTCCAGTCTATCTTCTTTTCTATTTTTGTCTCTTCTTCAATATCTTTTTATCTCTTTCATTTCTTTATGTCTTTGTCTCTCTCAGTCTCTGTCTGTGTCTGTCTGTGTCTGTGTCTGTCTCTGTCTTTGTCTCTGTCTGTCTCTGCCTCTACTTCTTCAATATATTGTGTCTGTCTGTCTCTGTCTCTGTCTGTCTCTGCCTCTACTTCTTCAATATCTTTTTGTCTCTTATTTCTGTCTGTCTCTGTGTCTCTCTGTCTCCTCTTTTCTCTGCCCTCCACAATTTGCGCTGCTTCCACGCGTCGCCGTTTAAATAATAAAATTTAAGTCGGCATAAATAAACACAAAAAATTATACGTGTACACACGTATATATATATATATATGCATATATATATATGCATATATATATATATAGATATACAAGCATAAATATGTATATATGCATCCACATACATACACATAGGTATATATCTATGTACATATATATATATATATATATATGCATATATATATATGCATATATATATATATATGTACATATATATATATATATATATATATATAATCTGTCTCTCTCTGTCGCCCCACTTTAAAAAATAAAGGAAGACAGAGAACACACTGAAGCTAATACTAAAGCCAGGGATAATAAAGAAGAAGATAAACAAAATTTAAACAAACAAACAAACAAACAAACAAACAAACAAAGACAGAGGGGAGACATCAGATCTGTAGCAGCAAACAAATGCATGCAAACAAAACAATTAAAAATATATTTATAGGGCCTCTAGTAGAGACAATATAATCTTATTGATGTTTCTATGAAGCACACTGATAAATAAATAAATAAATAAATAAAAACAAACAGAGCTTTGATAGCAGCAAATAATGCATGCAAACAAAACAAAATAAATATACTTACTTAAAAAATTAAAAACAAATATGTGGTGTAACAAACTAACAAACAAAGATAGAAAAACATCTCCTTTTAAAGTGTCTCCTTTTAATAAACTGTCTGTCTCCTTTTAATAAACTATCTGTCTCCTTTTAATAAATTGTCTGTCTGTCTCCTTTTAATAAATTGTCTGTCTCCTTTTAATGCGGTGTCTATCTCCTTTTTAATAAACTATCTGTCTCCTTTAAATAAACTGTCTGTCTCCTTTTTAATAAGCTATCTGTAATAAATTGTCTGTCTCCTTTTTAATAAACTGTCTGTCTCCTTTTAACGACTTGTCTGTCTCCTCTGTAATAATCTGTCTGTCTCCTTTTAATC